AATAATAATAATCGATATCATTTTAATATGCTAGGCTGTCTTATTAAAGTTACTGTAGGGGGAGCGCGCCAAGTTCTAGGTAATCGACGCCCACCATGACACTCCTGCGTATTCTCTGTTCCTCCACGGGGGCAGTTAGTTCCCTCTAGGTTTACAACCCTTACACTGGTATGCGCTTTGTCTCCCTGCCCAGCGCCCTCTGGCGGTACAGCGATCGCACGTGCTTTGCCTTTTCCCGGGCGCCGCTCTCTATACGCGTGCACGGTGTCTGGCACGTCTGCATTCATTCATTCGTCTGCTCAGCACGGATGCTCGGTTCACATATGACGGGAGGGTAGTAGGGCAGGACTTGTTACGCTGAGGTGACTGGTGCGTTCATCGCGTGTTGGATAAGCTTACCCTAGCGCGATCTACATTATATACGTCACTAATCCTCATCATCAGCAGCAGCGACGGAAGCAGCCGTACCAGGGGGCTGTGCACTGAGGGGCAACATTGCAACCAGCAACATTGCAACCAGCAGGACTGTTGGGGCAACATTGGCCTGACGTGGACTCGTAGGCCTGCTGAAGTGTGCCACAGATCGTCGGCCCATCTATATCCATCTATACACGCGCGTACCTGCCTTTGACGAAGTGGTTAGTTAGTTGGGACTAATCGCTGTACGGATGTGAGGGTGTATACTGTATATATAGCAAACAATCGTCTTGCTGTTTAGACATTCGAGGTCGGATTTTAGGTTTGTGTAGATCGCCCTAGTTGTTTGTGGCATTGCGTAGATGCTGCGCAATATATCATAACGTTTGATGCCATATATATATATATAATATATCAAGAGCTAATAATAATTAGGTATTATTAGGTATAGGTATAGGTATTATTAGCTCTTGATATATATATATATATATATATATGTATATATATGTATGTATATATATGTATATTACTATATATATATATATATATATATGTATATTCTATATATATCATATATATATATATTATGCTATGATTACTATATATATATATATACCTTTGATGCCGATGAGATCGTATCAAAAATCGTTTTATTATTCTAGTGGCGGGATCGACCTAGTAATGCGTGCATATTTGGCAGATTTTGTTTGAGGGCAGGAGTGCTTGCAAGGTCTACTGCCCTACAGTAGTACTACTGGGCTGTATTCGAAAGTCAAGCGCCCGAGGAATTGATATATACGCGCTGGTGATGTGATCCTTTCGAGATTCGCAACCATTTCCTTTCGTTCGAGGTTTTCTTCGAGGTTCGATCCATTCAGCCGCGAATTTTAAAGTGACGACAGTGTTATTAGTACCTATACCACGCGACTATTCGAGGAATAAACACAGTCCAACTGCCGCGGTCAGTGCTCGTCTAACCCCAAAAAAAGCTCGGGCATAGAAGAATCGCTGCTATAATAAGAAAAATAAACAATCATTATCACAATCGTAATAGTTGATGATGGCGATGGCCTCTCGTCGTCTTGGCTGACTCAGCATTCTGCACGCACTGGCGTCTGCCGTGATCAATTAAGAATAGACCATAGACCTCGTTACGAAAACTGGTGTGTTTTTTAGCGTGAAATGGCTTAACGGAGCGTCGGCGAATGTCACGGGGGTACAGCAGCAGTACACAACTTACTGCCGCCGTAGTTGTCGCTATTGCCGCAGTTGTTTAACTCTATCGGTGTTGTGTGTATCTAGACAAAGAGTGCTGTATGGAGGTAGGCAGGAGTAGCTAGGACCATCCATGCAGAGCTGCTGAGCGCGTCTGTGGCTCATGCCCTAGTTACGGCACTCCTGGGTCACCGCACATCTCTTTCACTTTTGTGTTTGCTGCAGGTTGCCATTAGGCGCGCATTACAAGAGCGAGTGCTCAATTAAAGCCGATAAAGCGTCGGCAGCCCATAACGGTCTTCAAACAACTGCAGGCGGCGTCGGTGTGCGTGCGTGCGTGCGTGCGTGCGTGCGTACGCGTGGGCTGGGCGTACGCGTGTTGTGTCTGCGTGTGCGTGCGGCGTGTGATTGATTGGGCGTGCACCACGCCCGCGCGTGCAATGTTTACATCTCTGTAGCGTGTGGCCGTGTCCGGTTGCTTGTATGTGTGTATATGTGAGCGCGAGGCGGGCGTTCTCATTTGAGAAAAAAGGAATCATTTGAAAAATATACCCTTGAAAAGTAATCTAAACAATAGTACTTGGCAGCGCTGCGCAATTCGACCAGGGGTTTATATTTTCTATGCTGCTATTTCCGCCGGTTGCTCTCGCACTGGCATCCAGGAAGTGCGCAGGGGTTTATAAATGCGTTGTTGTCAATTTGCGGACGTGTGACCGCGTGAATGTCTCTAGTAGGTCATTAATCCTTCACGCGGGTTGTGGTTCGGCTCACAGGCACTTGAAGCGTTTCAATAAAATATAATGCTAACTAAATACGAAATCTATTTACTTAGTACAAAATTCTTAATGTTTCTATTACTATACTAGCCAGGCCTACTCTCTTTCACCTACGGCTACACCGCCGATAGTTTCCAACCACTGCATTACCGGCTGCCATTGCTCTCGCGGCGCGACTGTTGCACGCTTGCACTAATATAGAGAGCAGGTAAGAAAGCGCGATTCCAAAATTCGCTCGATTGCTCGCTGCATTTCTAACGATTTCAAAACAAATACTCATCAAACAGCTTACATCTTTGTTTCTCCTTCAACAAGAGTGTTCACTTGTTATAAAAACATATTGCCTCTGTGTAACAAGGCGTGGCGTTGCCTCCCTCTACCCAGGTCCTCGGTCCGGCTGCGGGAGGGTTTCCTCCCACGGTAGTTGACAGTAGCGTCGATAACGAACAAGAACACAGGATTCTATAATATACTGCACGTGATTATATTGACTCTAGAACTGCCGTATACAATTTGTGATATCGACCGCGCCACGTATCGCGTACAATGTATAGCGCTACGAGAGTACAACGTAGTTGTTACCTTAAACTTAGAACGATACCCAGATCACTCGGCGGTGTGCAGCTTCGGAGATAGTACGGGGAAAAGGAGTTTGTACGAGATGTCGGGGAAAAAGGAGTTTGAACGAGATGTCGGGGAAAAAGGAGTTTGTACGAGATGTCGGGGAAAAAGGAGTTTGAACGAGATGTCGGGGAAAAAGGAGTTTGAACGAGATGTCGGGGAAAAAGGAGTTTGTACGAGATGTCGGGGAAAAAGGAGTTTGTACGAGATGTCGGGGGAAAAACGCAGGGCGCAGAGAAAAGATGACCTACGTGGCAGAAAGTGGAGACCCGAGTGTCACGACACGACGTCACGCGTCCCGTTTCACGACGGCAGCCATAAAATCCTAGGACCGGCAGGGAGCCATAAAGGTCCGCTCTGCCATGCAAATTGCTCTTTTTTATGATCGCCGAACATCAAGGAATTTGCCGAACGAAAGGTTGTTTATAAATCGACTTGTTTTTGGAATGGCGAAGCGTCTATCCTACATCTGTTCCTAACCGAGCTGTGTCACGCGAAATCACACAAAGACTGACGAAATTCTCGCGTTTGCTCCATTTGCGCACGAGATGTTACAAACTTAAGTATGGCTAAAGGCGGCGCCAAGTTTGTAACATCTCGTGCGCAAATGGAGCAAACGCGAGAATTTCGTCAGTCTTTGTGTGATTTCGCGTGACACAGCTCGGTTAGGAACAGAGGCAATATGTTTTTATAACAAGTGAACACTCTTGTTGAAGGAGAAACAAAGATGTAAGCTGTTTGATGAGTATTTGTTTTGAAATCGTTAGAAATGCAGCGAGCGATCGAGCGAATTTTGGAATCGCGCTTTCTTACCTGCTCTCTATATTAGTGCAAGCGTGCAACAGTCGCGCCGCGAGAGCAATGGCAGCCGGTAATGCAGTGGTTGGAAACTATCGGCGGCGTAGCCGTAGGTGAAAGAGAGTAGGCCTGGCTAGTATAGTCAGTATAGTATAGAAACATTAAGAATTTTGTACTAAGTAAATAGATTTCGTATTTAGTTAGCATTATATTTTATTGAAACGCTTCAAGTGCCTGTGGTTCGGCTGCAAATCCCCCTCCGATTACACTGCTTAAAAACGCTGGCGTATAATGCGAGCATATCTGGGTAAATTAGCTTCATACATCACGCGATACAGTTCTGCATGCGCCCTGCGCGATGTGTGTGTGTGTGTGCAAAGTGTGCCGAGTGAACGCGTCGCCTCACCTCGCTTCACTCCGATTGTAGTGTTCTGGTAAATCGGCGCATTATGTTTAAATATGTACCATCCCCCCTGAAACGATCACATCCCTTTACATGCTCTGCAAACTACACCTACATGTAGTGCGTGAGTACAAATCCGTAGCTGTATGTGCAGCTACTCATAATAAATCAATTGAAAGCAGCACAGCCTGTTCTGGGTTGACAGATCACGCGTCAACAAGACGTTCAGAGTTCGGTTGGGGTAATCATTATTAGATTGCGTTAGTAAATCAATTTTCTTACAGTATCAACTTATCAAGCATCTGCTATGATAAAGTGCTTAGGTAATCCTGAAGTATAGGAACAAGAGCAGCATTCTGTTCCTGGAGGAGCCACAAGTAATAGAAGCCATGTTTTAGCAATGAAAATCTTTACACTTTTAGTTATAGTAGTAGTAGTAGTCCGTAAAACTGAAGGACTTGAAACTATGAGCATGTGTCTAGCTTATCTGAGACGTAAATGCATTTAGATGTTCCCTAATCGTTGATTGAGCAATACGCACTACTCACAGGTTGTAATCGGGCTAAAATTAATTTTGTGTTCGTGGAAGATTGCCTGGGAAAACTCCTGAGGAAAGGGTTTTGTCATGGGCGTCTGAACCCTGTAACAGGGATGTTGGCTGTGAGGGTGTGGCCGTGAGGGCGTGGCCATGATAGGCGTAGTTGTGAGGGCATGGCAGAGGGTGTGGCTGTGAAGGCGTGACTCTGACCGTACATTGTCTCTCGTTGCAGCTGGTACTTTGGGAAGATCAAGCGCGTCGAGGCAGAGAAACGCCTGCTCATCCCCGGCAACGAACACGGAGCGTTCCTGATCCGTGACAGCGAGAGCCGCCGCAACGACTACTCTCTCTCAGGTGCGGCTCGTCCAGGAATCGTCCCGCTTACGTACAGCTCCTGCGGGAATGCTCCGGCTCATGTGCGACTCTTGCGGGAATGCTCCTTCTTATGTTCGACTCCCGTGGCAGAGCTCCAGCTCATGTGCGACTCTTGGCAATACTCCTTCGATTTAGTGTGACTCATCAGGGAATACTCCCTCTTTGGTGCCACACCCTTGGAAGATTTCCGTCGTAGGTGTAGATGTTTAGGGGGATTTCTACATTGATTTCTACATTGATTCGTCTACGTTTTCCAGTGAGAGATGGCGACACTGTCAAGCACTACAGAATACGGCAGCTGGACGAGGGAGGGTTCTTCATCGCTAGACGGACGACGTTCAGAGATCTGCAGGAGCTGGTGGCTCACTACACAAAGGATGCTGACGGTCTATGCGTCAACCTTCGCAAGGCTTGCATTCGGGTAAGCGTAACACTGATAGACAAGAAAACGCAGTCTGTAACTGGAATTTAAGTACAGTGTAGCCCCGTTATAACGCGATAGTTGGGGTCCATAAAATGTCATCGCGAAAAAAGCGGGGTTGCACTAAATCGGGGTTATATATATATACGTCGCTATATAAGAGCAAAAAAAGGGGTCCAACAACTCATCGCGTTATATCCGAATTCACGTTAAATCGGGGCGCGTAAAATGGGGGTTCCACTGTAGTGAGTTTAATGACACCGAGGTGGTGGCGGTGGCGGTTTGTGTAGTGATACGCGATTCCTGAACTGTGTCGTTGTTTTTCCCGACAGACGGAGACTCCTCAGACGGAGGGACTCTCGCACAAGCTCATCGGCGATCAGTGGGAGATTGACCGCCGGTCACTGCGGTTCACACGCAAGCTCGGACAGGGTCAGTTCGGAGAGGTGTGGGAGGGACTGTGGAACAATACAACACCAGTAGCGATCAAGACCCTCAAGCCAGGTAGGTCGGAGATAGATGCCCGTAGTTGGCCAATCGCCATGGAAACTGCCTCCTCGGCTCATGAAAGCTGTTCCCCAGCACCCCTGAGCCATCTTCATTGCTAAATTTTGTCCATAACGACGACGACAATCACCGAATCGTCGTCATTCTTCCATTTTGTCCGTGATCATGTGTATGAGCAAATCAGCTTCGTTATTTGATGCTGTACGCATCCGCGGTAACGACCGAGCCGCGCGGTCGGCTTTCTCGCCATCGCCACGGTAACGACCGAGCCGCGCGGTCGGCTTTTCTGCCCGTCGCCGCGGTAACGTGACGCCATTTTTCCGCTGTGCAGGCACGATGGACCCGAAGGACTTCCTAGCCGAGGCGCAGATCATGAAGAAGCTGCGGCATCCGAAGCTGATCCAGCTGTACGCCGTGTGCACGCTAGAGGAGCCGATCTACATCATCACAGAGCTGATGAAGTACGGCAGCCTCCTCGAGTACCTGCAGAGTAAGTATGGTGGCGTCACGTGTCTGAGTGAGAGAGAGAGGCTGAACGTGTGAGCGAGAGAGAGAGAGGCTGAACGTGTGAGCGAGAGAGAGAGAGGCTGAACGTGTGAGCGAGAGAGAGAGAGGCTGAACGTGTGAGCAAGAGAGCGAGAGAGAGAGAGGCTGAACGTGTGAGCGAGAGAGAGAGAGAGAGGCTGAACGTGGTTATGCACATGTATCGGACTGGGTGTATCAGAGTAAGTATGGCTTCACGTGTGAGCGATAAGAGAGGCTAAATGTGGTTATGCACACATATTGGAGTAAGTGTTGCTTCAGGTGAGAGTGAGAGAGGGGGAGCGTGGTGATTCACACACGTTGGAGTAAGTGTTGCTGCAGTTATAAGTAGAAATTGGGAACGTGGTTATCCACACACATCAAAGTAAGTGCGGCGGAAGTTGTGTTTTTTTACGTGGGGGACTGGAACGATGTGCATGCTGTGGGTAGCGGCGGTGGGATGACTTTATCACAGAGATGATATTGCTGCCGACGATCATTATATCATTCACGTAAATTGAGCTTGCATTGTCGTAAGTAAATCAACAAGTTGGTCGGTTGGTGTGCCCCCGAGGGATTGAGTCGTAATCGATGCATGCCGCGGTGCTTTCAGTGGTTGTAATTGTTACTACCATGAGTCGCCACGCGTGGCAATAGCTGAGCTGTGGCTATGCAGCGTAAACGCTACAGCGCTGCTACTGTCGCGTCAACGGGGAATTGCAACTTTTTTTTTTCAAGGTTTTAAAGTTGTAAAAAGTCCCTTAAACAGCCCTAAGCTTAGCCTGGCTGTCTTACCACAGCGTTTATTTACATTGTTTACGTCACGTTACAGTCATTATTTTGTAACGACGTCGCCTAGCCATCAGAGAGATTTATTACGTGACACCTCTCGTGGATCGTTCGGCGTCTTTGATAGGTACGAAGGAGTCCGCCATCCGTAAAATAAACTATCGGCGGATTTCTTGTCGACGACAAATCTGCATCTTATATTCGAGAACTAGTCCATTAGTAACCAGCTGTACACCTGTACAGTTTTGCGGTCTGTGAAATGTTAACCGTCTGCCGTATGACATGTATTGACTGTTCCGTTGTTGTTGTTTTGAAGCGGTGAGGGGCCGAGCGATGAAGCTTCCCAACCTGATCGACATGGCTGCCCAGATTGCTGCAGGAATGGCGTACCTGGAGTCGCAGAATTACATTCACAGGTGAGTGTCTCTTCGTAGTTGGCATGTGATACAGGGTAGTATAGTACCCTGGAGTCGCAGAACTACATTCACAGGTGAGTGTCTCTTCGTAGCCGGTATGCGATACAGGGTAGTATAGTACCCTGGAGTCGCAGAACTACATTCACAGGTGAGTGTCTCTTCGTAGTTGGCATGCGATACAGGGTAGTATAGTACCCTGGAGTCGCAGAACTACATTCACAGGTGAGTGTCTCTTCGTAGCCGGCATGCGATACAGGGTAGTAGATTGTGACTGTTGTTCATCTGATATTGGAATATTGACATGGCACACGTGCATCTAAGAAACGAGTCGGGATTAAGAAACGAGAAAGCAAAGGATGGATGAAGAAAATTCTCGTTTTTATTTTCAAACTGTTGCCAGTACTTTTTGTGTTTTGTTAACTTTTTGTGACTCGTATTCTTTTACCCAGGGATCTGGCAGCCAGAAATATCCTTGTTGGCGAAAGCAACATTGTGAAGATTGCCGACTTCGGTCTGGCTCGATTAATCAAGGTAAGAAGGTTGAGTGGGTTTAGATCAATTAGGGACATGAAACGTAACTCCTATCTTATACATAGAATTACCTTACCTTACCTACCTTACCTTACCTTACCTTTGCATTGAACTTGATTTCTTGACTTGGTGTTTTGATTTCTTCTCTATCTATATCTCTTCCCTCTCTCCTGCTCTCCCTCCCTCCCTCCGGAGCTCCCTCTCTACCTCCCTCCCTCCCTCTCTACCTCATTCCGTCCCTACCTACCTCTCTCGTCCTCCCTCCCTCCCCTTCCCTCCATACCTTCTTCCCTCACTCCTTACCTTTCTCTCCCTCTTTTCTCTCTCATTAGCTCTTTCTCCCTTGCCTGCTCTCTCGTTCTCCTTTTCACTCTCTCTCTCTCTCCCCCTCTCACGCACTCTCATACATTTTTTCTCTCGTCTCGCGTACAGGAGGATGAGTATGAGGCGCGGGTCGGGGCGAGGTTCCCTATCAAGTGGACGGCGCCCGAGGCAGCAAACTACAATCGCTTTACGATCAAGTCGGACGTATGGTCGTTCGGTATTCTGCTCACAGAACTGGTGACCTACGGCAGGATACCTTACCCTGGTGCGTGCAACACTCCCGGTCACTCAGACTGGGAGTGGTGTGGGGAGAGTTGTGAAAGAGTTGAGCGTTGCTGGCGTGGCTACGGGGTTAGGAGTTATCATGAAGGGGGTAGAAGTGTGCATGTGTGTGTACGGATGTGTGTGCGTATGTGTGCCTCTCTGCACATTTTGTGTGTGTGGGGGAAGGGGGGTTGTAGGGATGTAAATGAAGCAGGGATGGATACTGGCTAATGTAAGTGGAGTGGTAAAGTATGAAGTGGATTGCCTACTGCTGTGGGGATTCTCGAATCTTTCGGTCAGGGTTAGGGTTAGGGTCGAATCGCTAATATCGAGCTCGAACCACTAACGTCGCTCGCTGTTCTTCGCAGGAATGACGAATGCCGAGGTGCTCCACCAGGTGGAGCACGGCTACCGCATGCCGGCGCCACCTGGCTGCCCGCACGCGCTCTACGAGATCATGCTCGACTGCTGGCGCAAGGAGGAGCTGGAGCGGCCGACGTTCGAGACGCTGCAGTGGAAGCTAGAGGACTTCTTCACGCTGGAGGGCAGCGAGTACAAGGAGGCATCGGCCGCACACTGAGGCGGGCGGCGGCCATGTTTACCGAGCACGGCTCGGGACGGCGGCCATGTTTGCCAAGCGTCGCTCGGGACGGCGGCCATGTTTACCGAGCACCGCTTGGGACAGCGGCCATGTTTGCCAAGCGTCGCTCGGGATGGTGGCCATGTTTACCGAGTGTCGCTCGGGATGGTGGCCATGTTTATCGTCTGTTGCACAAGGCAACAGTCGTGCATGTTGCATAGAAGCCCCTTGATCGGTTCTTCTGTGGTAATGCCGGTCGATCGTTAATGAAACGGAAGTTATCAGCAGGCATGTACAATTTAACATTCATAGGCCCATGCAGAGCTGTATGCTTCTTTACGTACATATATACGTATATAAGTAAATGTGTGCGTGCTTGCGTGTGTCTGTCTGTTTGTCTGTATAGAACAGATCTGAAATAGATGACAAGAGCTGCTTCAGATGCCGTCACGTGTGCGTGTGTGTACAGGCAGCCAGAGCATTAAACTGACAGCTTGGTTTGATTTGCAATTGGCTTGCTTAGACTTGCACATGATGAGCAATCAGCACAGTAGTAGTGTGTGGTTGCGAATGTGTTATGCGTGCATATGCACGTACGTGCGTGTGTGCGTACGTGCATATGCTACTGTCAGCGTGCGTTCCCCACGTTTATGGCACTGCATATATTGTGACGTCCGCAGACCACTTCCATCACTGAAGACTCAGTGACCAAGCCTCGTTGTCGTTACCGTAGCAACCATTATACGTAATGCCCATTACGTATTCGAATGAAGGGCGTTTTAAGGACCTATAGCGTCTGCTTTATGTTTTAACATAGGTCTGCGTCACAGGAGTGTTGTCGTTTTTTCTCCACATTGCTAAAACCTATCTTTTCTGCTAAAATGCTAGTGATGGCCACTACAAAATCATGTGTACATTAGTCCCTAGGCTTTTATCTAGTGTTGGTGTTTCCTGAGATTACATTCGTTCTCGGTCAGAAATACGTAGATCTGCCATGCTTCTGGTGGTGACATTAACAGTTAGTAGCTTCATTCAAGTGTGCAATTTTATCCAATATCTTATCTTTATACAACGATCTTATCTCTATGAAGCCATGATCAAGCTGAGTAAAATTGTCAGCATTTACTGTTTGTGTATGTAATTTTGTATATAGTATTTTAGCCTATTTTAGCTTGCGCTTGTAATCCTGCTGTATTATACACTCTCTGGCCAAAAGATCATGAATTCAGCATGTTTGTGTTCGCATTTTTGGCTTTGGTCTGTAGGTGTAGTTGTTCTTCTAAAGGTGGTGTGTACATACATGGTATGACCTTGTCTCGCACTGGTTTGACATACGTTTCACAACTAACGGTGGGTTGATGGGCTTGCCACATAGACCACTCTGCATCAGTGTGAGTGACTTTACTTAGTTGTCGATAACATGATTTTACGAAAGTGTGAATCTCAATTAGAAACTATTTATATATATGCCGTTTTAATAATGTCTCTACTAGAAATCAATTGCGCTAGGAATGTGATCTTTGATGCATTAATATATTTTACCCGGAACCCTTGTGTTATGCAATGTTGCATCGTGTTTACAATTTTGTTTGCGTTGCGTGTAGTCAGTCAACGTGCTGTGTAAGTCTGTTTATAGTTGATGAACAGTGGGTTGTGAATAAACAGTGTTTCATACAAAGCTATATAAACCACAGCTTCAATGGTTTTGTTTTTATTTTCTATAAATATGCATTTTCCGTAATAATGCCATCGTTCGCCAGCTTCCGTCAAGCATCATCGTTGGGCATCTTTCACACAGAAGCTTCTCGGTGGCGGTGTCTAGTGATTCCATTATCGACCTGAACATCATCACCCAGCATCGTCCAGACAAGCTCCACCAGAGCTTCCTCCTCATCAA